GAAGGGGAGAAAATTAGGATGTCATCCAAATAAACCACTACAAAAACATCGAGGAAATCACGAAAAACATCGTTGATAAAATGCTGGAAGGTTGCCGGTGCATTACAGAGCCCGAACGGCATCACTAAATATTCATAGTGACCGAATCTCGTACGGAAGGCCGTCTTCCACTCATCCCCCTCCCTGATACGGACAAGGTTATAGGCCCCCCGCAGGTCTAGTTTAGTAAATATCATTGCTGATCTTAATCTCTGGAGGAGCTCGGGGGACTAGTGGTAAGGGATAACGATTTTTTACCGTTATCTTGTTCAGATCACGGTAGTCTATGCAGGGCCGTAACGATTTGTCCTTCTTCTCTACGAAGAACAACCCGGCCCCCGGCTGGGGATGTGGATGGACAAATAAATCCCTTCCTAAGGTTCTCGTCAATATATTCCCTCAGTACTCCCGATTCTGTTTCTGACAAAGGAAAGATACGGACGAATGAGATTTCAGATCCGGGTAGGAGGTCTATGGGGCAATCGTATGAACGGTGCGGGGGAAGAACGTCAGCTCCTCGCTTACTGAAAACGTCCAAGAAGTCATGGTAGGCCGGGGGAATGGTCTGGGATAGATTGGCATCGCCATCCACGCACAGGAGGAACCGGGGACCCACGGATCCTGTGACGTGGCAGTGATTCAAACAGTAAGGTGACCTGAATTGAATCGTTCCCCTTTCCCAGTCAATCTGGGGGTTATGGGCCCGCAGCCAAGGGAGCCCCAGAATGACTGGAAATAGGGGAGATGCGATGGCATCCAAACGGAGGAACTCCTGGTGATGGTCTGCCATTGTGGTGAAAATGGGTGGTGTCTCCTGGTCCACCACCCCTGATTTTATACTGGACCCGTCTGCCAAGAAGATGTTGAACCCCCTTTCTTTGGTCTGAAGTGGTATTTTTTGCCGGTGGGCAAAAGTCAGGTCGATAAAACAACTACAAGCTCCTGAGTCAACACCGACAGTGTTCTTCCCGGGAGCTGTAAAGACACAGGTATGGCCAGGTAACCCTTTCCTGCAGGTAAGGTAAAAGAAAAGGAAGCGGACTTACTCATTTTTGCAGGACAGGAGCGCACCTGATGACCAGCTTCCCCGCAGTACAGGCATAGGTTCAGCGATCGTCTCCTTTGACGTTCCTCGACCGATAAGTGGGAACGGGCCAGTCCCAGTTGCATGGGTTCCGGGTTGTCCCCCGATTCCGTGCTTCGGGGATGGTTCCCTGGGGTTGGAGCTGTGTCTCTTGGTGGGATCCATGCCACCCTTTGACCCTGGCTGCTCCTTTCCAGCCGACGTTCCCTTAACCTACGGTCAATCTGGATGGCCAACTCAATCAGTTTTTCCAGGGAGTCAGGTAGGCCTACTCGTGCAAGTTCGTCCTTGAGAGATTCAGACAGTCCGATGCGGAACTGGTGACATAAGGCCACATCGTTCCATCTGGTGTCTCCCATGCATCGCCTAAAATCGGATGCGTATTCTTCAGCTGCCCGGCGGCCTTGCCGCAGAGAGTATAGGGTAGCCTCTGCGGAGGCAGCCCGCTGAGGGTCGTCATACAATACTGCCATGGCCTGAAAGAACTCGGTCACGGAGTCAAGCTGGGGGTCGCGCCTCTCCATCAGACGGTGAGCCCAATCCTGGGGCTCATCCTGAAGGAGAGAGACTATAAACCCCACCTTGACGGTCTCGGTGGAGAACGTGCGGGGCTGCAAGTCAAAATACAGGGTGCAAGCGTTTCGGAAGGCTCGGAAGCGGCTCCGGTCACCACGGAACCGTTCCGGCAGGGGAACGCGGGGCTCAGGAGCTGAGGGTGTGGCAACCGCTCCGGATGCCGGGGTAGCGGGAGGTTCCACAGATGGAGAACCCTGAGCAGGGGGAGTCTGGGGGGCTAACGTCTCCATGCGGTCCTCCAGTCGGGCGCAGCGACTGTGGAAGTTCTGGAAGTTCTGGAAAGCCTGGGTCAAAGTTGCCAGGTGCTGGCAAATATGCTCTAGGGACGCCGGTCCACTTCCTGGCTCTGTCATGGCCGCAAGGTACTGTTATGATCCGCCAGGCGGAGCCCTCCAGCTGCCAACTGACAGACCAACCCAGAGCGTGGGGTCTAAGCCCGGGCTGTGCCTTCACCAGGGCCCCTGATGGTGGGGATGGACTTGAAACAGTCCCGGGCCAGGTCACGACCTCTGAGCGGGCCCACCAGCGGCTGAGGAGGCCTCCGGGGATGTGTGTAGGTACCGGGAGAGCCAGATGTGAAGAGGATGGCGGCCCCAGCAGGGTGGTACGGATAGTGGTCCCGTGGGGGTAAGCGGGGTACCGAAGCGGCGGGCAAGGAGTAGTCGGGTCACATGCAGGGTCAGCCAGGTAAATCAGTCCGTAGAATAGTCAGGATAAACCGAGTCAAAACACAGGAGCGGGCAGAATAGTCAGGACAAGCCGGGTCAATCACAGGAGCGGGTAGAATAGTCAGGGCAAGCCGGGTCAATCACAGGGGCAGGCAGCGTAGTCAGGGTCAAAAACAGGGTCACAAAACGGGTGCAGGAATTCAGGATCACAGGAAGACCTTGCGGCAATTGGTGACAGTGCAGGGCATCTTTAAATAGTGCGCCGTGCACTGTCATTGGCTGGCTAGGACGCGCCCCCGGCTGTCATTGGACGCCTGAGGCGCGCCCGCGGCTCTCTACTGCGCATGCGCAGCTCCCTGTCAGCCGCGGCTCGCCGGGACCTAGTGCCCGTGTCCCGGCGCGATACGCCGCCAGTGCGCATGTGCGGGGGGGACGGCGTCGTGACACAGGAGTCCGGAGCCGCGATCCCTGACAATATCTGTGTACTGACCTCGGCTTGTCCCTGACATTCCTCCTATATTGTCTATCCGTGTACCGACCTCGGCTTCGTTCCTGACATCGCCTGTCCTGACCTCGGCTAGCCTACTGGATCTCCTGAGTCTACTCCCATCGTACTCTACTCCTGCTAGCGGTCTCTTCTACCTCAGCTGGGTGTACCTGGGGGCCGCGACCTGGTCCCAGCCTGCTGCAAGTCCATCCCCACCATCAGGGGCTCTGGTGAACAAACAGGCTGGGGCTTAGACTCCGCGCCCTGGGGAACCCCAAGCTGTGGATTAAGAGCTCACTACCACAGGTGCTAACAATAACACTTTAAAAGTGATGAAAAAAACTACCATTGCTAAGTGACAGATCCATACTCAGTCTCTCTGTTTGTAAAAATGGCATGGAATTCCTCCTAAAACCCATACCAGACCCCTATCTAGACATGCAGTCTGGCCAGGACAGGGGGAAGAGGACAACAAGTGTGTAATTCCTCCCTAATTAACCAAACCAGGCCACATGTCCAACGCTGTGAAGGTAACTTGCAGGGGGATGCAAAGTTTCTTCTCCTACAAAGCACCTTTTCCTATGTTGACGAGGATAAGGGCCTCATCCCAACATCCCTGGCCCAGTGGAAGTGGACATCTGTGGGGGGGGGACTAATCTGCATCCTGAGGTCCTCTTTAAATTAAAGGGGTTCCCAAATCTGGCCCTCCCCTATGTGAATAAGTCTCTCTGGTTACTCATTCACAAAAAAGCTTAATAGCAAATAAAAGCACAGATACATTAGAAAAAAATAAATACTGTCCCACAATGTAATTTTGACATGAATCAGGTCGTCCAGAGATGTAAATCCAATGTCAATCACAATAAATGACATACTTACGTACTGTCCCACAATGATCCTGTCCTGCCACTTTTTATATCTGGAATGCCAAAACAGTCTCTGGAAACCTGGGTGACGTCATTGACCAAATATGCTCATAACCATATTTGGTCAATGACATCATCTGGGGTGTCCATTGGTTTGTTTAAAATGTGAAACAAGGGGGGGTGGCCAGGCGCATGGAGCGATAGGCAGCACATCTGCTTTGCTCCCGGCCCTTCCATTAAGGCTTCTTCTCTCTTGCAGGCTATCTTCCGCCCTACTTATGGGCAAGAATCAACACCGGACCCCCGGAGTATAACGGGGGGCAGTCCGGCGGCAATTTGCAGCGTTTCTTGACCCGATACTCGGTTGAGGCCTTGGGCATGCCGGCCTGCAGCACCTCTCTCCTCCTCACCCCCAAGGGACTCTGGGCTCCATGAAGGTGGCCAAGTAAGCCCTTGGGGCTCCATCTCTCCACAAGGGGATCCGGCCATTAATTTGCCGGGCACACAGAGTATACAGGGCACACAGAGGCCTCACAGCCCTTCTCTGCTCTGAGGATGGCTGGGACCTGCAGTCCCACATGCATGCGGTCCCTACACATTTACATCAAATCTCTCCCTACAAAAGAGGATTTTGAACTTTGTGTGAAATGTATTGAAAATACGTACAAAGAGGAAATCTCTGATCTTAACCACTAGCCTACAGGGTACTTATACCCCCTTCCTGCCCAGGCCAATTTCCAGCTTTCAGCGCTGTTGCACTTTGAATTACAATTGCGTGGTCATGCAACACTGTACCTTTATGAAATTTTTATCGTTTTTTTGTGACAGAGCTTTATTTTGGTGGTATTTAATCATCTCTGGGTTTTTTATTTTTTCTTAAAAAAACCAAAAACCACTGAAAATTTTGAAAAAAAAAATTTTTTCTTACTTTTTGTTATAAAACTTTGTAAATAAGTGATTTTTCTCCTTTACTGATGTGCGCTAATGTGGCTGCACTGATAGGCTGCACTGATGGACACTGATAGGTGGAACTGATGGGCACTGATGTGGAAGCACTGGTAGGTGGCACTGATGGGCATTGACAGGCATCACTGATGGGTACTGAAAGGCAGCACTCATATATGGCACTGATAGGTGGCACTGATAGGCGGCACTGACTGGCACTGATAGGCGGCACTGACTGGCACTGTTAGGTGGCACTGACTGGCACTGTTAGGCGGCACTGACTGGCACTGATATGTGGCACTGATAGGCAGCACTGATAGGCGGCACTGACTGGCACTGATAGGCGGCACTGACTGGCACTGATATGTGGCACTGATTGGCAGCACTGATAGGTGGCACTGCCTGGCATTGATAGGTGGCACTGACTGGCACTGATGGGTGACAGTGAATGGCAGCTCAGATGGGCACTGATATGTGGCATTGATGTGCCACTGATGGGCACTGAAATGTGGCACTGATGGGCACTGGCAGGTGACATGGATGAGCACTGAGAGCTGGCACTGATGGACACTGACAGGTGGCACTGCTGGGGCTACACAGATCATCAGGGAACACTGATCGTCAGTGCTCTGATGATCTGTGTACATGTCCCCTCCGAGGAATGCCAATGACCGGCTCTCCTCTGCTCATAAGCTGTCAGCGTGACAGCTCGTGGGGAGAGAGATGCCGATAACCGGCATTTCCCTGTTTATATGTGATTAGCTGTGATTGGACACAGCTGATCACATGACCAAGCCGACATCTTCGGGAGCCTCTCATGCGCGGTTAGAATGGGAGGGACGTCATATGAACTAGAACGAGAGAACCACCTTGCGTCCGTCATATTACTATATGGTGGGCGGGAGGCGGTTAAACAAGAAATCTGTGTGTGTATGGAAGTGGTTGAAAATACCACCGACAGCCTGGGTAACACCTTGCAATCCCATGAAGAGACGCTTAATTCTCATACAGTCTTAATACATCAGCTCATGTACCAACAAGATGACATTGAGAACAGGAACTGCCGTAATAATATCCAGATCAGGGGCATTCCAGAATCCACTGAACCTAAAAATTTGGCTGCTGAAGTTACCGTCATGTTCAATCAACTACTCCAGCAACCTAAGATTACCTATATTGAGTTGGACCGCGTACATCGCACCATGGGCCCCAGAAACCCTGATCCATCTTTTGTTCGGGATACACCATGCAGGGTCCACTACTTCAAGGTCAAAGACGCCATTATGCGTGCAGCCAGCAGGCAGGATACCATCCTATTCAATGAAGTGCTGGTGATGCTCCTCCCTGACCTTTCACGCCAGACTCTAGTCATGTGCAGGGCCCTGCATCCTCTCACCCTGATGTTGCAAGAGCGGCATATTTGCTACCAGTTGCGGTTCCCGTTTGAACTCCACACCTCACAGAATGGCAAATCCGTACAATTTTGCACTCTCGGGGACCTGCCCACATTTCTCGGGGTGTTTGAACTACCTCGGGTGTCCCTCCCGGACTGGCCCTTTCAGCTCACAACCCCAGGCCTTCCATTTCCCTCATCTTTGGCAGCGGTCTGAGCGAAAGAAGAAGAAACGTCCCTGATCCTCTTCCCAGATGATTCCAGAGGGCTGATCTCCTAACCACATAATATGGGAGGTTTTTCTTCCCTTCTCATTTTTTCTACAGTTTTTCATGCACTCTTTTGGTCATTCTCATTTGATCTGTAAATTTGTGCCTGTTTTTTTTTTTTTTCATATACCCTAGGGCTGTGGTTAGAGGCTACTTCCTGGGTGCCGCCACCGAAGTTTGTTGTGGCGTGCAGGGACGCCTTCGACCATACGCTCAGGGGCTTAGGGCCTTCGTTGTTTGATTCATTCACGCCCTGCTCTTACCATGTTATATTTATTTGTTGGGGGAGGGGGCTTATTTTGTCATGCCTCTATGAGGGTTTACTGAACAAGTTTTGTAGAGGAGATGATCCCCTTTGTGGTTGTTATTTGCCCGTGGAGGACCTGGGTCGGGGTCAGATACATGCGCCTCTGAAAACCCCCACCTAGGCCTTCAGTGTATTGCATAGTGCCACACTGTATGTTGTTTGGACAGTTCGCCTGTCTACTAGTATCTTCCACTTACTTTCTTCCTTTTTTTTGGTTCTTCCTTTCTCGACTTTATATCCTTTTCCCACTAGTCCTTTCTTTACTCCTCTTGTTTTTCTCCCCCTTTCCCCCTCCCCCCTTTTAAGTTTTTTTTTTTTCTCTGGCGGGTCGGGGGGGGGGGGGCTTGGCGGATCGCTGTCGATATGAATCCAATTAAATTTTTTTCTATTAATTGCAGGGGCTTTAACACTCCGGAGAAGCGGAGCCAGATGCCTTATCATTTCCATAAACATCGATCGCAGATTTTGCTCCTTCAGGAGACTCATTTTCGCTCCGATGGTGTCCCTGCCCTCCGTAATCGTTACTATACTCAGTGGTATCATAGTACTAACCCGCGGGCCAGATCTAGGGGGTGTCGGTGGCCTTTCATCATACCTTCGGCCCAGAGGTTTTGGACTCCCTACTTGATCCAGCTAGTCACTACCTTTTCTTTAAGTTGAAATTCCAAGATTTTGTTTTTACCGTAGCGAACGTTTACGCTCCCAATCAAGATCAGGTTCCATTTCTTGCGTCAGTCCTCTCTAAGCTGTCTGATTTTGGGGGTGCCTGTTTCATCGTAGGAGAGGACTTCAATGTCGCTTTCTCTCTAGACTTGGACACCTCCGCTGGCAAATCATCCCTCTCCCCATCGGCCTTATCTCAAATTAGGTTGCGTTTGCATGACTTACATTTAGTGGACGTCTGGCGTATCCAGCACCCTTCGGAACGAGACTATAGTTTTTACTCTGCAGCTCATGCGTCATACAGTTGTATTGACTATTTCTTTGTTTCGCAGTCTTTTCTTGATTGTCTGAATTCATCCTCTCTCGGCCATTTTTTATGGTCGGACCACGCCCCAATCCATCTTACGATTCAGGACCAACCATCGTCCTTGCATCACTTTTCGTGGTGCTTGAATGACACCCTGCTCAAAGATTCATTGTGTGTCGTGGAGATAGTACAGGCTATTCAACATTTTGTTCTTGATCACACATTGGACACTACTGGCCCTCTTACTCAATGGGAGACTCTCAAATGTGTCCTTAGATGGGTTCTTATTAAACACAGGTCTTGTTTAAAAAAGGTTCACATGAAGGAGATGCGTTGCTTATTTTCATACATTGCACACCTCGAATCTTCTCACAAGCGCACGTTAGACCTGGTGTTTGCAGTGGACTTATCTAATGCTCGTAGAGACTTACTCCAACTTTTAGATTCTTCCTCCCTTGTCGCACGAGACAGAGCACGCAACACTTATTATTCCCTAGCTAATAAATGTGGCCAGCACCTGGCGCGTGTACGCCACCCCCGTCCATTTCCTTCGTTCGATCCACCATATTAAGGCATCTAACAGTACTAAACTCTACCATAATAAAGGAATTTCTTCCGCGATTGAGCATTATTACTCTCAACTTTACAATCTGTCCTCGGTGATTCCTGATGCTCCTTCGGTTTCTCCCCTTCTGGCTATGTCTCAATACATTGCAGAAACAGCGTTGCCTGTTCTGGATGCTCAGGATGTGTTGGACCTAGAGGAGCCTTTCTCGACTATGGAAGTTCTTGGGGTAATTAAGGACCTGAAGACGGGTAAGTGCCCAGGTCCGGATGGGTTTACCCTGCAATTTTACAAAACATTTGCTGCCTGTTAGGGACTAGCCGGTGGTAGCCTCTAGCGTTCCACAGACCAGAATTCCCCAGGGCGATCTTCCCATTCCCTGACATTGCCCCCCCCTTACGGGCAGCCTCCGGATGCCCAACCGGTTTCTCCTTTGAGGCTGGTTGTGAAGGAACTCCCGAATTAACTGAGGGGCATTCCCAAGAGTTTTCCTCTGGCCCATAGCCTTTCCACTTGATGAGATACTGTGTTTGCTCCCCCCTCCGCCTGCAGTCAATAATAGCCTCCACCTCGAATTCCTCTTCCCTATCGATGTATATGGCCTCTGGGGGTCTATATCTATGATCTGTAAAAGGATCTGCTACAGCGGGTTTCAGTAGGGACACATGAAACACAGGATGGATTTTGAAGGACTCGGGGAGTGCCAGCTTATATGCTACCTCATTAACCTTACGCTCTACCCGGAAAGGACCCACAAATTTGGGTGCCAACTTTCTTGATAAGCACGCCAGTTTCAGATTGGTAGTGGCCAGCCACACCTGGTCCCCTGGATGTATAACCAATTCCCCCCTTATCTTTCTATCAAATATCCTTTTTACTGTCCTCCTGGGCTTTTGCCATGGCTTCTTGTAATAACTTGTTATTGGTTGTAAAGAAATTCAGGGTCTCTTGAGCTGCTGGGACTGGTTTTTCCGGGATCAAATCAGGTTAGAACGAGGGATGGAAGCCATAGTTGGCGAAGAACGGGGATTGCTTAGTGGCAGAGTGGCAAGCATTATTGTATGCAAATTCTGCTAGGGGTAAAAGTGCCAGCCAGTTGTCCTGGAGGAACGATGTATAGCACCTAAGGTACTGTTCTAGTGTAATTCTTTTCTGATGGGGAGAGTTTTCTGGAAAAGAAAGCCACTGGGTGCATCAGCTCCTTCACTCCTATTCTTTGCGACAGAATAGCTCCTACCGCATTTTCCGAAGCATCTACCTCCAGAACGTAAGGTAATGAAGCGTCGGGATGACTCAAAATAGGGACTGTCGTGAATAGTTTTTTTCAAGGCTTCAAAGGCGGTGTAAGGGACCACCTGACAGCACCTCTAGCAAACCACTGGTCAGGCTTCCCCAGAGCGCGGAGTCTAAGTTCCAGAGCACTTGTTCACCAGGGCCCCTGATGGTGGGGATGGACTTGGAGCGCTCCGAGACCAGGTCGCGACTACCGGGTATACCCACCAGTGGTAGAGGAGTCCGCCAGAGGCTCCCGCAGAGTAAGAGTCTGATGTGAGGGGACCGGGGGGTCCCAGTGAGATGAATGGATGGACGGATGGATGAGCTAAAGCTAGGTCAGACAAGCCGAGTCAGTAGCCGGGGGGTCGGTGCGGTACAAAGCAGCAGGCAAAGAATGGTCAGGTCACACGCCAGGTCAGTAACAGGAGATCAGATCTATATAGGGACATTCAGGAGCGAGGTCAGGCAAGCCAAGGGTCAGGACAGGAGAAGGCAGCAAAGGTCAGACAATCCGGGTCAATAGTACTCACAGTCACAGGTTTCAGGGAACAGGAATCACAAGAAGACCATTCGGCAACCAGTGACAGCACAGGGGGATTTAAATATCGCGCCCTGCGCTTTCATTGGTGCCAGGCGCGAACCCGCAAACGCCAGTGCGCATGCGCAAACTCCGTCACCGCGGCAGGCCGGGACCTAGCGCCCGCATCCCTGCATGAGAAGGCCTAATGCGCATGCGCCGGGACCAGCGCCGCGGCGATCCCTGATATTGCCCCCCCCCCCTACGGGCAACCTCCGGGTGCCCAACTGATCTCTCCACCGCGGGTGGCCACGAAAAAAACTCCCGGATAAGTCTAGGCATGGACATTTTGGGCTGGTTCCCAAGAGTTCTCCTCTGGACCATAGCTTTTCCATTT